TTTCTCTCTTTTCTCTACCTATTTTTCACCAGGAATCACTTATGATAGTGACCCTCATGTATTTTCTCATAACTTTGAGCAGAAAACCAGATTAATATCAGATGAAAGTAGCCATGTTACCAGTAGCTCTGGTAGTGCCTAGCAAACCTCAGTCATATAGACCAATTTCTTTACTAAATATCAGTTACAAGATAATTACCACTATGCTAGCTGAACATATGAGGAAGTGTATTTCTGAAATTATATACACAGATCAAACATTTCTAAAAAAGAAAATTAAAGATAATAGCAGATTTATCATAAATGCACTAGAATGCATCAATATTAAGAAAAAGGCAGCAGTAATATTTTTAGATGTGAAAAAAGCCTTTGACAATTTGGAATGAAGCTTTTATTTGAGGTCTTAAAATGAATCCTGGAGAAGAATTCAAAACTTGGAGTGGTGAGCATATATCAACAGCAAATAGCAAAGATTGCAGTGAATGTAACACTCCCCGCAAACTTTTCAATTTCAGTTAGCAAAGGCACAAGGCAAGGGTTGCCCCTTTACTATTTATAATCATTCTGGAAGTCTTGGCCAACAAGATCTGAAAAAAATAAAAACAGATAATTGGGATCAAAATTTAAGGGGAGGGATACAAATATAAGATGAAATATTATGCAGTATTAACAATTATGAAACCAAGAAACTCCATACGGCAGTTGATGAAACTAATCAAAGATGTTGGTTGCTTTTCTGGATACAAAATCAGTGAAAAGAAAACAAAGATAATAGCAAAGGATTTAACTTCTGAGGAAGAAACTTTTGTGAACAAAAGAGACTGGCTGTGATATAGCAAAAGATCCAATGAAGCATTTAGGACTTTACTTGACAAGATGCAATAAAGCCATATTTCAAAACAATTATGATAAATGATGGAAAGAAATAAAAGGTGAAAAAGCTTAAAACTTTCCTGGCTAGGATCTCTGGCGACAATAAAATGAATGCATTACCCAAGATAAATTTATTTCAAATGGCACCATTTAAAAAAAACAAAAATTACAATAGATCTTTAGAATATATCCTTTTCAATAAGAAATAATATTTTAGAAATGATCTCATTGCATTTATGTTGTTGGAGATGCAGTGAAATTAATGCTTTGTTTAAATTTATTGTTCCATTTGGGTAAGAAGTAATGATATGCATTAACTCAACTTTGAGATTTAATATTTTCAGATGTTTATACTTCTTTGAAGTTTATCACATGGGAGTTGGCATCTGGACAAAGAAAATGGACTTATAGCCGAAAGACTTACTCTTTAGCATTGAAAAGGCAAATGTACAACTCCAACTATTCAGTGGTTTGCAGAAGTGATTAATATAGATTAGTTCTGGATGACTATAATGAATCATGGCTTCAATTTTTTGATATTTGTATATCTGTAAATATAGGTCCTGTTTGTTTTTGTTTCTTTTTTTAGCTTTTCTTTCTTCTTTTATAATCTTGAGAATTCTTTTTTTATATATATAGTTAATTAAAAAGCTAAGAAAAAATAAGAGAAATCCCTAGCATGTAACATCTCTGAAAAACTGACCTCCAAGACGCATTGCCCATGCCTCATCATCCCTATTTACCTGCAGCTCCAGAGAGGCAAAGGCCCTTGTGTCTGATTAGCAGTTGATCAGATGCTGAACTCTGCTGCTCTGAGCAGCAAACAATAGGGAAGAAGGTCCTATTATCCCCCACGTAGTCTCCTGTATGAAGGGGTGGAGTAGATGAAGGACTTGATTTCACTTGAGGCTTGCAAGATGGATGGACTGTTCTTATAGCTGCATTAGAACTACAGACAATAGTTTCACTATAAGTGTACAAGTTCATGATAAATGTGAACTGTATCACTTATGGATGTGATCCAGATTGTTGTTTAAATTGCAGAGAAGATTATGTGATTTATGCAAATCTATTTGTAACACTACTTGTGGGCATGTTTTGCTATAATTTTAAGAAGGAAGGAAGGAAGGAAGGAAGGAAGGAAGGAAGGAAGGAAGGAAGGAAGGA